CAAATTCTAGAGTTTATCTGAATAATAATACCTACTTTATAAGAACAATTGAAATACAACTGTGTTAAGTGATCACTGTGAAACACCAAAAGGATAATTCTTGTAAGTTTTGAGAAGTCGACATGTATGATGGTAGCACAGCAGTAACAAATGTTATATTTGTGCTATATTGTGAAGCAGTGTCTATAAGATTTTCCTGGAAACTGTCTGATGGACTGTAAAAGTCATATATGTAGTCCTTAGTCTAATAGTGCTTGAATCAGATTTGCTTAAAAGGATTTGGAACTTATTAATGCTACATGCTATCACAGAGATTTACCTTGACCCTCACTTAGGTAAAGGAGTTTTTAATGTCTAATTTAGGTCATTTATGCTGATCTGAATTTTAAAGCACATTGAGAGTGGATTTTCTCTCATTCCCTGCAATATTAAGAAATAAATTGCCTTTGTTGCTATTGCATGGGCATTCATTCAAATAAACATGGCAATTTATGCAAATATAACTGTTTTACAAATTCTCATCATCTGAGAAAATCATGTTACAGTTCTCTGAAAGTTCAACTAGGAACAGCATCCATGCATATTTAAATCTGCCAGGACTATACTTGAAAGAATAATTATTGAGGTTTTCTTTGACAGCTTAGAGAAAATGTGCCTAGACTTCCATGTTTTAAACCAATTACATGGCCTCTGTTAAAGGATGGCTTCTTTTCTCTGACATCATTGTCTTGATTTGTTCTATCAGAAAATAATGAAGAGGCACTCATCCGTGCACTGTGACTGTGTACGTGGTGGAGACGCTTTAGGCTCTGGTGTAAAAGTAGCCTCTGCCTCAGGATTAAAGTCTAAAGCAAATTTTGAAGCTAAAAAAGGGTGAGGAGGAAAAGAATCACAATCTTCAAAGTCAAATTGTTCAGAAAGAATGCAAATAAATCCTTCCAAGCTGCCAGTGGGACACAGAAACAACGTCATTGAGTCTATGCACCCTCTCTCTCTCTTTCTCTCTCTCTCTCTCTTTCTCACACTCACTCTCTGTCTCTCTCTCTCTCACACACACACATATATATATACATATATTCTACATACATAGGACAATACAAATAGCTCCCTTCTTTTTCTTATCCATCTTACATGGTAAGAGCATGTTAATAAGAATAACAACAACTTAAAAATAACCCTCTAGTTACAACTCAAGGCAGATAACATCTATTACTCAAGTTACTTTCAAAGTTTTCAGATTCAAACAACTCTACTTGTATAGAGGGACCCAGTGTGATGCACTGTAATCAGATAATATTCGGTATTAAATGATTCCCTATGCATCATCTTATATATTCACCAACCTGGTGAAGCAGAAATCATTAATTTCATTCTTTCTATGAGGAAGTTCAGGCCTGAAAAGTTAAATCATGTGTCAAAATTGTTAAAATAAGAAAATGATGGAGTCCATTATTCAAATCCAGGTTTTTCCAACACCATAACCAGTGTGCTTACTTATGTTGGTGTCACGTCACCTCACCTACCCATACACAGTGGGTTTGTAACCTTTTCAAGCATTTTTGGAGCCCGCAGGTGAAGAAAAAGTGGACATTTAAAATTATCCTGGAGAATTCCCTAACCATGTATACTGCCCAGAAATTCCAATAGATAAGTTTTTCTTTTATTTTCCTGTTCAATTTTTCCTTCAACTAAGTATCAGAGGAAGGAGATGGAATCTTTTGAGAGGTCAAGGAATGTGTGTCTTTAAATACCAGAATCAGCTTTGCAGCTGCAAGATACAGGCGTCATGAGAAGCCCACAGAAATGAAACTCACTGAATGTAGTTCATGTTTTCTTTAGGCCATACCAAAACTGAGCAGACTTACTCCACACCATTGAAACTAATTTCCTCTCCTTCTTTCCTTTAAAAGAAGGGATGTTTGCTAAGCATATAAGTTAATGCATCTAAATCACTTGCATATGTGATATAGTTCTGATGAATTTTATAAGTATGTACCAAATACCATAATACATACAAAAGAATACTTATTAAACTTATTATAAATACTTATCAAATACTATAATATGTACAAAAGAGTACTTATTAAATGCTTATTATAAATACATACCAAATACCATAATACTTATTATTAATACCTTTAAAACATATTAATCTTCAAGACATCACCTAAATGTTCACTGTTTCATTGTATTTCTTCAGCACCAGCTAGCTTTTTAGCTACTCCCATCCTCAAGGGGAAAGGCTCTAGGATGGGAAGATTACAATGAAAATGGCTGCCACTGATAGAATCTTTATTTTTTAGCTGGGGTAGGATTAGCCAGAAATATAAGCTGGAGAGTTCAGGTTATATAATAGCTTTTCCTTTTTGCAGAGTCATTATATACAATAGCAAACTCAGATATTAATGTCTTAAGTTTCTATCAAATGACACCAGGAATAACCATATGAAAGTCACCATTGACCTGTCCATAGAATATAGTTTTTTATACAGTCCCACAGCAAACATTTTTCTTCATCCTAAGGCAAGGAAAGCTGTACTTTACAGAATCATCTACTCAATTTTTACCTCATGAAAACTGTAAATCTTGTAACAGAATGGGCACTGTTTTGCCTTTGCTTCATCCAGTTAAAAGACATGGATGAACCTAGCAACCATCATTCTCAGCAAACTGACACAGGAACAGAGAATCAAACACCGCATGTTCTCACTCATAGGCAGGTGTTGAACCATGAGAACACATGGACACAGGGAGGGGAGCATCACACACTTGGGTCTGTCGGGGGATGGCTAGAGGAGAGACAGTGGGAGGTAGGGAGTTGGGGAGGGATAACCTGGGGAGAATTGCCAGATATAGGTGATGGGGATGGAGGTAGCAAACCACAGTGCCATGTATGTACCTATGCAACAATCCTGCATGTTCTTTACATGTACTCCAAAAACTAAAATGCAATAAAATATATATAAAAAATAAAATAAAAAAAAAATAAAAGTTCAGTGTTAAATTTGAGTATCACTTTTAACAATTAGATAGTGCAAAATGGCATCTGCCCTTTATATCTAAGCTTTACCTTATTATTTTACCCATATTTTCATCATATTTTATCTATTTTATTCTATGCTGATATTTTAGATATTTTTCAAAGTCAACCTCCAGCCTTAGTTTGATCAACACAGGATTCAGAAAAACAAAGAAAGAAATAAAAACACAGTCATCAAAAATGATTATCTATCTCTTTGGGGATTTATGAAGTCAATTGTTAATGAGTCCTATAAATCACAGAATGCCACAAGGCCAGAGTTAAGATTTTTTCCTAATCAGAAAGTTTCTGAGTTACAGCATAAATTTTTCCCTTAAGAATGTAGCACCTGGGGCCATAGTAGAAAATGAGACAGACATGGTCTTCTGTAGTCATGACAATTAGATAGAAAATAACCAACCAACAAATAAAAAATTATACTAGGCTGTGGTAGGTGCTGTGGGAGAAGACACTAGAAATGTAAGTCCAAGTCAACAAAACAAAGGAAGTTTTTGTTTTTGTGAGTGCTGCATTTGAACCTAGAAATGCTGGTCAGGACAAGACTTGACAATTATTAGAAGCTATCTAGTCAGCTGTGTTAAGTCAGAAAGAAGAGTCTAAGAATGTCACAGATCTCCTGTGAAGTTCTGAAATTACAGCTAATGATGCACTGAATTAAAAACATGGATTGGCCAGGCACAGTGGCTCATGCCTGTAATCCCAGCACTTTGGGAGGCCAAGGCAGGTGGATCATGAGGTCGAGAAATGGAGACCATCCTGGCCAACATAGTAAAACCTCATCTCTACTAAAAACATGAAAATTAGCTAGGTGTGATGGCCCGCGTCTGTAGTTCCAGCTACTCAGGAGGCTGAGGCAGGAGAATCACTTGAACCTGGGAGGTAGAGGTTGCAGTGAGCCAAGATCACAACACTGCACTCCAGCCTGAGTGACAGAGGAAGACTCTGTCACTCACACAAAAAAACATGGGATTTATAAAATAGCCCTAGCTTCTATGTCTGAGAATATCTGTAGTCTGACAGTCAAATACTTGAAGCTATATTTTCAGAATTTACGACATCTTTCCTTATAACATGGAGCTCTCTTTCTATTGCTTTGCTTGTTTGTTTGCTTTCATGGTCAGTAAACTGTACTGTGAAATAACAATTTAAATTGCATGAAATGCTTACAAACAACACTGAGTACCCAATTTTAACATAAGAACTGTACGGGAATATCTAAGCATGCATATTTGTATATATTTACCATATCTAATACATCCATATGGGGAAACCTGAATAGCTATTGTCAGAGTTTCTAAGGGTGAGAATTTTGTCTCGGTTTTCAAAATCTGCCCAATGGAAGGCAGCTGGCCAAACATTTGAACCCATTACTTTCAATCTGAACTAAATAAACAAACATAAGAGAATCTTCTCCAAGTGCTACTAAAGAGAACTGTCTCAAAATCATCTGAAGTTTAAAAGAATGGTTGTCTAAATACATTCTACTGCCTGGATAATTTATTTACTTTTGTTTGGGCCAAGTCATTCAGAAAAATTCCAGGTATTCTTCGAATCAAAGTGGCACTGTGATTGCATTCACATAATTCTAAATGATTTGCTCCATTTTGGAGAGAGGCAGAGAGAAGAGTCTCCATGGAGGAAGCACATCCAGCCACATTTTCCCATGTTTTCATACACAGGCTAGAATCTACCCTATTACCAATTTTGCAGAAGTAAGATGTTAACTTTAGTATGTATTTTCTTTATATATTCTATTAGTACTCAAGGGATCTCAGTTTCGCAACTTCGAAATCTCTTCAAAAAAAAACCCAATTCTTACAAATGAAGATGTTACAGGCATACTTCACAGGACTCTGGGAATGTGAGAGTCTGTAGTGTTTATTTAATAAAGTCTGAAGAGAACTCTACAAGCCACAGACATTTGAAGTGGGCCAACTTGATCAGAACAATCTCATCCTACCTGCCTCTTTGGAAATCTGCGTGAAGGACTCCACACCTTTCTCTCCATAACTTCCTTCGGATGCAAGAGTAGACACATAATTCCAGCCAAGGGCCTTTACAATGTCTACCATGGCCTGGGCTTGGAAGGAATCGGGCGGCACCACGCGAGAGAAGAAGTCATAGCGCCGGTCATCACTTAGCTCGGGTGCCGTTGATGCATAACTAATCTGGGGGATCTGCAAAGACAAGAAAGCACCACGTGAGAGTGCACCATCACAATGTGAAAGACTCATTCATACTTATGACAATTTATTCAAAATACAGGGCTTGAGCTGCAAAGGGGGTATTTGTTTTGCCAAACACCGCTCTGTAACTTAGACCACCTAAATGCAACCATCTACTTCTTTATTATTATTATTATACTTTAAGTTCTGGGGTACATGTGCAGATCATGCAGGTTTGTTACTTAGGTATACCCATGGCATTGTAGTTTGCTGCATCCATCTTCCCGTCATCTACAGTAGGTATTTCTCCTAATACTATCCCTCCCCAATTCCCCCACCCCCTGCTCTCCCGCCACTAGCATCCTTGACGCTGAATAGGCCCCAATGTGTGATGTTCCTCTCCCTGTGTCCATGTCATCTCATTGCTCAACATCCATTTATGTGTGAGAACATGTGGTGTTTGGTTTCCTGTTCTTGTGTCAGTTTGCTGAGAATGATGGTTTCCAGTTTCATATATGTCCCTGCAAATGACATGAACTCATTTTTTTTTATGGCTGCATAGTATTCCATGGTGTATATGTGCCACATTTTCTTTATGCAGTCTATCATTGATGGGCATTTGGGTTGGTTCCAAGTCTTTGCTATTATAAGCAGTGCCACAATAAACATACATATGCATGGGCCTTTATACATGAGTGTTTTATAATCCTTTCAGTATATACCCCGTAATGGGATTGCTGGGTCAAATGGTATTTCTATTTGTAGATTCTTGAGGAATTGCCAGACTGTCTTCCACAATGGCTGAACTAATTTACACTCCCACCAACAGTGTAAAAGCATTCCTATTTCTCCATATCCTCTCTAGCATCTATTGTCTACTGATTTTTTAATGATCGTCATTCTAACTTTCATGATATGGTATCATGTTGTGGTTTTGGTTTGCATTTCTCTAATGACCAGTGATGATGAGCTTTTCTTCATGCGTTTGTTGGCTGCATTTTTCTTTTAAAAAGTGTCTGCTCATATCCTTTGCCCACTTTTTGATGGGATTGATTTTTCGTATAAATTTGTTGGCTGGGCACGGTGGCTCAAGCCTGTAATCCCAGCACTTTGGGAGGCCGAGGCGGGTGGATCACGAGGGCAAGAGATCGAGACCATCCTGGTCAACATGGTGAAACCCCGTCTCTACTAAAAATACAAAAAATTAGCTGGGCATGGTGGCACGTGCCTGTAATCCCAGCTACTCAGGAAGGTGAGGCAGGAGAATTGCCTGAACCCAGGAGGCGGAGGTTGCGGTGAGCCGAGATTGCGCCATTGCACTCCAGCCTGGGTAACAAGAGTGAAACTCTGTCTCAAAAAATAAATAAATAAATAAATTTGTTTGTTTAAGTTATTTGTAGATTCTGGTTATTAGTCCTTTGTCAGATGGGTAGATTGCAAAAATGTTTTCCCACTCTGTTGGCAACCATCTACTTCTTAGCAGCACAAAATTGTTGTCTTTAATGTCTTGCTTTTTTATTTCCTCCTTTTCGGAATAAGGGAAGGAGGTTCACATGGGAATTCCAAAATTCCAAGGTCAGGGTCAGGGTTATTTAGAAGAAAAAGATTTACGACCGTTCTACCAAACATGGTGAATCATGCTTTACTACTATAAAACAGTGAAAATTAAAATACAGTCCCCTGACTGGAGTGTATATGAAGATTGGTTTAGTTGGCACAGCTTGTGAATACTGGGTGGATATCATTAGCCATCTAACACTGATTGATTGCTGATGGTCTCCAAGGAAATATCTAAGTAAGTCACAAGGATTTTCTAATTTATTCCTCTTAAGAACATTTTAAAGTAGCTCGGTAACATTCTTTGCCCCAGAAAAGGGAAATTCCCCACCCTCAAGGCATTTACTCTAGTGGTCTTGGCACTTTGACTGGCTTTCCTCAAAACTTTCCAGATTGCCTGGATTCTGGAAGAGAACTGGCAGTATTGTCTGAGTGGAGTCCACAAGGGTCTCTGATTCTTATCTTTTCCCTTCAGGGCACCCTCTGACCTCTACCCTACATGGCATTTCCCAAATGTCCTGAAGACCACAGATCATCTTAGGACTGCACAGCCTCCTTGAAAAATCAAATTACCTCCCTTAGCCTCTGTTGTATTTATTTCTTAGGATCATTGGAAATTGGGCTATGTGAGTATCCTAACACATCTACTTTGCTAAATCAAATTACACATATGGAAAGAGCTGCAAAAAAAAAAAGTCTGCTTGGGGTCTTCACAGCCTATGGCTAGCCCCAAAGTACTCACAGACGAGAAATCTGGCCTGGCCCCTAACTTCAGGACTCCTACGCTAGTTACCTCTTCAAAGCATTGTAACATTTACCCACTTCTTAGTCTTAATTCTACCAAGCAATAAACAATGAGTGGCATGATTAATTTTCATGTAAGAATGATCAACTCTGACAAAATTCTGCTTACAAACTCTCCCAGGACTTACCCCTGCTTTATCACAAAAGGTTTCTTGGTTGTCGAAAGGCCAGTTGATCTTTTCTCAGACCAAGAACAAAAGTGCAGTGGAGGTCAAATATGGTAAAACCATGCTCAAGTTGATTCTTTGAGCCCTGAAAATTCTACTCACTAGTAACCTATTTATCCTTTCTTTGTAGTTTGCCTAAAGTGTACACAATTGCCATTGTTTAAGGCTAGTTACCGCTTCTGTAAAGATCATTGCTCCACCAACATTTTTAGGTCAGCATTAGAGTTAAATCCTGTGGCCCTGAAATCAGAGATCTGCCGTTTTCCATGAAGCCTGTCCATGATGCAGTTCTGCTCTATGACCATTGGAGGGAAGGCTTTCTGCCCCTGACTTAATTTAAATCCAGTGTGAGAAAGCCTGCATGTCTGCTGGTGGGTGTTTTTACCTGAGCAACTTCTCAATTATAGTGAGGTTTAGAGCGAGTAAAATAGGATTTGGTATTGACAAAATGTGAGATCAGAGTTTGACATTTCTGTTTGCTAGTGTTTAATTTGGTGAAGCTATTTTACTTCAATGAATGGTTACATCATTAAAAACAAGTTGTTCTGAGAAACAGGGAAAATGAATGCGCATTGCTTTGCATGATGCCTGGAACAGAGTGGGTGCTTAATTCAAGAGAATAATAATCATCAAAGAATGGCCTGATTTGCCTTCCTAAAGTTATCCGTCCCCCACATTTGACTTCCAAGTTCTCTGCTGCACATTATCACAAACATTCTCCACCATGACCTATGGCAATAAAGTGTTTTTACATATTCCTATCACTACTTCTTTCAAAGTAATACGTATTGTTTATCCAACTCTTTATTTTGTACCAGCCATGTTCTAAAAGTTTTATATGCATTGCCTTATCTAACTGTCAGCAAACACTCTGAACCATACTATACAATACCACATTAGACGGTATTACAGTATTATTAACTCGTTTTACAAGGCAGAAAATTGAGGCTTGGAAGAAGAATGTTACCTTGCCTCAGGTCACAAAGCTATAAAACACTCACAACTATGATGCTTTGCTGAATTATTCCTAAAATATTTTTAAAATAAGCATTAAAAAGGAAGTCCAGTAGATGAATGAAATCCAGGCTGACTCTCTCCACATCACTGACTACATAGCCACTAAAAGTTATTTTACTGGTCACTCTTAGACTGCTGTTCAAACACCTTATATAAACGCCTCAGTAAAGCTTACAAATATCTTAACAGAATGAGTTACCTATGTGTCGATTGTACTTTGGAGGTTATAAGTTTTAGGTAACAAAAATATCAACTAAAGAAAGGCTTTGGACAGAAAAAATAGAGAGAGGAAGGAAAAAGAGGGAGGAAGAGAGAGAGGCTTTCCCTCACAAGAAATAAAAAGAAAAGAAGCCAAGCATGTCAATACATTTCCATCAATTTCAACTTGTGGAAATATAAAAGCTTCACGCTGTTGCACAGATGCCTTTCCTGCCAAAATCCCTCTGTATCTTTGAGAGAGTGCTAATAAAGATACGTTCAGTCTCTACTTAAATTTGCATTTATGTAGCTGCTGTAAAACATCAGAATTGTGAAGTGCCCAATGCAATGCATTTTCCCCAATGAAAATCCTGGGGAAACAGATTTCTTTCCCCATTACTGAGTGCTCTTTGAAAATGGTTACTATCTGTGGTCTCTCCCTTCCAGGGTAAATAAGGAATATCTCCTCACCTAAGACCAATACTTCTGTTTAGGATCATGTGTATACCCTCTATCAGTGGTACTTATTTAGACACTATGAATATAATGATGCAAGCATAAGGATTGAAAGACAAAATGGAATTTATTCTGCGATAAGAATATGGCTTTATAAGGCAATCCCTTGTAGCAATAGAGGTGAAGGACTGGAACAATTTCTGTAACCTATGAAATATGATGTTGCTTATTTTCCTAGCTATTATGCTGCATGTTTAGTTATTTGTTTCCAAGTTAACATTAAAGCCTACATAGTAATTATTTTGAGTGTTAGTACTGGCACCTACAACTGATCAAATGATAATTAGACATCTTTAGCAATTAACTTTCATATTCACTCTAATATATAGATATGCTTTCTCTTGCTGCTATTGGAACTTTTCTCTCTGGCCAGTCTTCTTTGGAAACGGAGGCTTGATCTTTTGATAAAGACAATTTAGCACAATAACACTCTAGCTATATAAAAAGAGATAGTCCATGTCTTCTTAGGTCTTTTGTCTTGAACTTAGAAAGATAAAATACTTTTAATCTTTATCACAGGACCACATTGTCATCTTATTATTCTTTTCTCTTCATAAAAATTTGCCTGTTACACAGGAATGCTTTTGTTAATAATAAGCATCAGTCAGGATTGCAAAACAGCTATAACTATTCTATTTAAAATAAGTTTAGGCTTTTTAATAAAAATTAACAACATACATTATTTATTAAAAAATGAAGAGAAACAAGCACAAGAAAGCATGTTAATTGTAATGCCTGTCAACATTTTGCTAT